TAACTCTCTTCCCAAGCGTTCTATAAAATATCATATAATTAAGCAATATGCCATTCCTGTTATTGTCAAGTATTTAAATCACCAAAATCTTACTTCACAATATTTATTACCTGTTTCATCCTTTAATATATTATTTTGGGAATTTACTTGATAATATCAGGACAGAAACATTGCTGTTTTGAAACCACAGCACTCTTTAAGTGAAATGAAATTGCAGTAAGATTTTTCTGCATGAAGTCAACATTTTCATGACAGTGAATTAGGCTAGGGATTTTTATAATCATATTAGGTACAAAGGTTTTCTGACAACACTTTGGATCATTATGATTCTCTCGTAGGCAGCGTAGGCAACAGCAGAAGGCAGAGAGTCAATAGAAGAAGCTCGACAGAGGGCAGCCCGCCACAGCTACGAGGAGCAGCATGCACAACAAGTCCAAGAGAGGATCAAGGACTTTTGGAGAGCTTCCCAGGCTGACTGCACATGCTTAGGGGAATCTGCCGTTCGTGATTCGCAAGACGACAGTGATCAAAATTGTCGTTACTGTATCAGCACAGACGAGGGTGGCGATGTCGCCAGGGTCACAGGAAAATGTCTGAATGCTGATTGCAAGGTGTGTGCAGTGATGAACAAGCTTGACAAAGTCACATTGGCGGTACTTGGCGAAGTACGCAACACACACCATTTATTGTGCAGTGCTTGAACTCTGGTAAAATCCCTGAAGTCTTGTCAGAACATTCTGTGGCTTACTCTGCTGCTCCAAAAGCAGACTTCGATTTTTGGCAAATGTTGGCTTCTTCGTCATGATCTGCCCACGGTTGAAACACCTGCAGCTGGAGAGAGGATGGGGAGACGTGTGGTGTAACTTGTCCAAGTTTGCCCCTGCTATTGGTTACCACCGAGATCGCCGCAGCCAGCTTGCTGTTCTCATCTTCATGCGTCAAAGGTGCATTCCAGACGGCGAGAGCAAATGGGTATGGTATTTTCAGTCAGAGGACCCTGAAGAGCAGAGAGTTAACCGAGAGGTTTTTAAGCAAGGCTGTCAAAGAGAGTAGGTTTAAGACTTTGAACATTTGAACATTTTGAGTTGTTGTTTTGCACTTGGAACAAAGATTGCAAATTGTACCGCACGAAATGCACGTAAGTGAATGTGGTCCGGGCAGCTAAATGATAAGCACACTCACCTTAAGTTATTTTAAATCCTGATGTTCGAGGGTAGGGTTTGGGGATTTTTCTCTTTTCTCCAGTGGCTTAGTTGACGTGCATTAACTTGCAAGGGTCACATTTACTCTGAGAAAATAATTTGATTGCTGTATGTACATTAATTTACTATGCATCATAACAAGCCTTTTGTTTTGGTCACAGTACTAGAGTGATCTTACTTGGCCCGTGAAATAGAAAGTTGACTAGTTAAAAAGTGGAGTTTTGTGCGATGTAGGTTCTTCTGATATGCATCTCTTGTTTGTTACAAGAGACATACACCTTTGACAAGCCACGAGGCTGCATTATTTAGCAGATACTTGTATTGTTCTTAAGATGAGCTCTCTATGAGATTCGCACAAAGCAGCTGTTCTGTGGAAATCTCATTTTTTTCCACCTACCTCACCATTGTAAATTGTGCGAGATACTGAAAATGAAGTAATAAATTCCACTCAGTTTTACATTAACATCGTGTTGGTTTATCTTTGGGGGTCCATAAAATCTTTCCCCGTTTGAAGTCATGGCTGAGAAACTATAATGTTGGCAGTCAGCGTTAGACAAGTTTTATGCACGTAAAAAACCCGCATAGATCAAAGTTTTAGTTTCAGGTCAGGGTCAGGGTTATTTCTGGGTGGTGTTCACCCCTTCCAGACTGAAAACCGCTTGAAAATCAGTCCGAAAGGATTAAATCACGGGCGTCAATTGCATTACCTGGTTCCTACGAACAAAATACTCCCACCAGGAAAAAATCTTAAACCGGCATCGTCATGGTTAGGAGCAAACCCGGTTTCAAAATGGCTGCACATGTTCCTGTATAATATTGATTCGACAGTGTAAAAGTCAGCAATGATTGTAAAGGTAGTTAGATCTCTAGCTGCCAATAACCGTCTTAACAAAGTGATAGTGCCATTTGTCAACGTTCCGTGAAGCGGTCAAATAAGACAGGCGCAATGTGATCAAATTTACCAGTTTGAGTAACAATTCTGGCGGCAGTGTTCTGAACTTATTGAAGCTTCTTCAACTGCGTTTTGCTACAGCCGAAGAGTAAGGAATTGCAATAGCCTAGTTTAGATGTTATGAAAGCATGCACAGCAATCTCACTCGACTCCCGTGTGAGATATTTTCTAATCTTTGATAAGTGCCTAAGCTGGTTAAACGATGATCTGGAAATGTCTGAGAGGTGACTGCTAAAGACTCTGCAAGTTCACTGGAATTCTTCATTTGCAATTTTTTTTTTATTCTCCAACGCCTCGCTTTCATGACTAGGCACCAGTTTTTTTCCCGCTTGTCCGCCATTTGTGAATACGGTGTATTCATTGTTGTAATTCTAATGACGTTTCCCCGAAGGCTGGCCCAACATATGGAAGGAAGATGCTTACTGTCGAATGGCATTACTGTTTCTTAAAGAAGGGTTGGCAGGTCCCTTGTACGCGTTGCTCCAAATTATCACCATCAGATGCAGGATAGGCCAGACCAACAGTTGAACCCTATACCATATTAAGGCGATTACTTTGGTCACAAACAGTTTGAAACTGCATGTTGACCAAAATGAGAAACTTGTTATTTACGGTGTTGTGCATGTTTGTGCATCAGATGGCTACAATGGGAAGATTGTGAGCCATGCTCTTATGCCTGTTAAAACAATCTAGTTAGTTATGATAATATTTTCAGGTAAGGTGTACATCAAAACGGTAAAATCTTGTTTTCCACCATTTGTCAACTTCGTTTGAGTAGCTTTTTAGTATTACACTTCCTCCCTAGCTTTACTATTAACTCTTACCAAATATCATTGTGCAAATCTATGCGACACCAGCGAGTTCATTATAATCTTACTGCTGGTCCCAGGCTGTTGGTAATAGCAATGATTGTTTTAGATACTGTTTGTGCATTTTCACAACCTAAAAAAATACACATTTAATTGTGCTGTGTCTTGTAAGTATCCTTATCCTAACTGAATGTGACAGCCACCAGGCGGCTTTACACACAGTCTACTAAATTTAAGACTATGCAATAAATTATTAGAAGTGTTTTTATTAGTATTATCCAGATAAGAGCATTTACAATAATTCTCCTAAGCAGGCTCAATGAATACCTAGGCTCCTGAGACAAGTAGAACCTAGGAAGCTAAAACTGTTGCATAATTTTATCTAGGTAGATGGGTGACTTTGGAAAGTGAATTAAAATATGATTTTTCGAACGCTTTTGCTCAAAGCCCATTATTGCCCTGCATACTCCATAACAGCAGAATGAACTGACTGAACAGTCCCGTCTAATGGTGAATTCGTATGTGTAATCAAATGGTGACGAGTGAAAATAGGGAATAATTTCACGCGCGTTTTGTCCAAAGCCTTCAGGCGGGGGAAATTATTAGGATTTGGAGAAAACGCAAGTGAAATTATTCCCTAATTTCACGAGTATACCATTTTATTACCTATTATTTCATGAATCACACATTTTCTTTTGTTATTCAACATCCTTTATTTAACTTACATACTTCATGAATATTTAACTAACTGAAAGTCCGGGGAGGGCTGGATAATGTAGCAGGGAAGAGCGGGGCTGATGAATTGAATAAATTGCTAATTATAAATGCAAGGACAATATCTATATAAATACCAGGTATTTCTTTGTATATTGCCCTGCTGCCCTGGGCAATATACAAATAAATCCCTTCCATTTATAATGAGCAATTAAAGTAAATCATACACGTCCTTTGACCCCGCCAAACATTCTGAGAAAATTTCTCCCTTTAACACAAATATAGAAATTTATTCTGCA